CTAGGACTGAATTAATTTTGTTCCAGTTACTCCAAGTCGAATAATTAATGAGATGAGAAGTCATTTCAAAGCCTCCAATATCGGACTGGACGGGATTTCAAGTCCGCGCAATTAGTTCCAGTCCTCGGCTGCGCCTCGGACTGGAATTAATTGCGCGGACTTGAAATCCCATCCAGTCCTTATTGTCGGCTTTGAAATATTACATCAAAGACAGGAAAAGCAAGGCCGGAAACTAAAAGCAAAGTAAATTCTTCTCCAACCAACACCAGCTGACATAATTTTCTAAATCCTTTCTTGCGGCCTCCGATCTCCAAAGATCCACAACAGCGTTAGGGAGGGGAGAGGAGAGTGAGGGGATGATAATATGCGTAAAAAATTGGATACAAACGGAAAGAGCTGAGCGCGCGCTTGTTGACGTCAGCTTATTTGTCTGCCATCGTATAAGGCGCACGGAAGTGAGAGGAGGTAAAAACGTTTTTTGGCGCACGGGAGCTGTAGGGTAAATCAAAATTTAAACTGTATCCTATTTCTAAAAATTTTCCTTGGTCATTGCCCAACCGGCAATTCACTGATCCCGCATTCATGGACCAAAAATATGGAACTCTCTCCCTAATTGTATCACTACTGCTACTTCCTTATTTATATTGCAATACATAATTTATTCTAAATTTAAACGTGTTTGTCTTATAGCTAATTTTAATTTATGAACTGTAAAATCTATCCTCCGGGGAAAGTTTCTGCCTCAAAAGCCTTTTGGTTTTAAGAAACCTCCTCTCTATGTAATAGATCAAAACCGAGTGCGGCCGAGTGCTTTTAAATTGTTTTGAGGTGTTTGGACGCCCTGATCAAACACGAAGCACGAGTTTTTGAACTTACTTCTTGATCCGTTTTTGATCAAGTATCAAGGTGTGTGCACGTGACAACAATGCAAAGTCGCCATTGGCCATTTACATCATGCATTATCAATGTGTTTGAAAAAGTGCGAATCGAAAAATCGTGGACACCTAGAAATATTTTAAGGATGTTCAATAGCCAATCAGAAGCGTTATTGTTATCTTTCCATTATTTTTTGGCYAGAAAGTCAATTCTAATTGGCCAAAGAAGAATAGAACATTCCTAGAATATTTCTAAGTGCCCACTGTTTTTCGATTCGCACTGTAAATGACTTGTAAATTCATTTCAATTCATCGTTCTACCTCCTCCCTAGTAATTTTTCTACGTCGGACAAGCTAAAATGTGTTCTTATTATGCAGCATGGAACAAACACTGATTGCTGAAAACTGTAAATGTCTGTCTTAGAATCAATGCATTCTAAAGGTACAGTGAGAAAAAAGTCGATRRCTACTGAAAATATTATGAATTCGAGTTTGTTTGTCTGACAATCTGTATTCCATTTGGAAAACTACCCATTGTTTGGGTGGACACTCAAGCATATGTGGGATCGGTGTAATCGCATGATGACGCGCGCGCGACATTAAGAATTTCCCTTTCTTATTAATGCTCTCTTGGAGAAACTTATTCAAATCTTTATTCTTGGCCACCACCGAGTAAATTTTTCTGTAATGATTTCGTTTGCTATGGCCGAGTAGAGCTGTTCAAATTCTCCGTCAACTGCCAAAGAAAACTAGTTCATTCAAACCCCCTGCCCTTAGGTCACAACAGTCAAATGTAATTCTCGAGACGAGCGAAAAGGGATTGAACGACTTTTTACCTCATGTCTTCATGGTGCAGCATATAAAGAATTATTTACGTTCGTCCATAATCGAGTTACCATATATCATATCCTTTTTCGTCTTGAGAGAAGGAAGTTCCGAAAAACTGCTGTACTTTGTAGTCCAAGATGGGGAACCAAAACACCGCGACCGTTGACCTCGCCGATTATAATTATGCAGCTATGTATGTGTTATGCCTATTTTATACGTACTGTTAAGCATGGTTACACATTTATAATAAACTAAGACAAGAACAGGATCCAGGTCGTAGCATTTATAGTGCCCATGACACCCAAGGGAGTGTTCATAATTTATCTACTAAATACATTTGAATGAAAAAGGCTTGGAAGAGGGGCCTACAAACTTCTGATGTTTTTGTGTTATTCATTAATGAATATTATTGTTCTTTAGATAGACTATATGTCGAAGATCCATAGTTTGTGAAACAATGAAAGAGTTATCTACGCTGTAAATTGTTTCAGTCTCACTGATAGACTTGGGGGGGGGGGGGGGGGACCATAATGTTTTGTATCCATATTGTCCATATTGGTGGTCTTTAGTTTAGGGGGTCACTGGAAACATGTAACGTAATATAAAACATAATATTTTTTCGAAACCTAAAACCCCCCATAGCTCCCAGTTTCAGTATCATTTTACATGATGTGAATAGTTGAATGGTAAAATAAATGATTTGAGTGATGCATCTTTAATTGAATATATTTAGCAATTATTCGCCGAAGGCGAAGTGAATATCGGGGAATATTTACCGAGACGCGAGTCTTCGAGCGGCGAGGTAAATAATCTCCATATTCACTGAGCCTTAGGCGAATAATTGTCTTAGCATATACCAACTTGTGTACAGAGTAACTTATTTTTATATACAATAATTCAATAAAAACAAACAAACAGAAACTTTTAGTTTGCGTGACAAATTCACGCAAAACTTTTAGCAAAACGTTTAGTAAAACGTTTAGGCCATACTTCGTTGCCTTTTTAGTATTGATAGGAATGGCATTTACTTTCATTTTTTCAATTTCCTAAAACGATTGCCGGCAGATGCCATTTTGTTGCCGATTCAATATTCCTAGATTAAGAGGTGAATATCGTACAATATTCACCTCCAATTAACCAATGAGCACGCGCGTTCTTAGGAAGTACACGAATATGCTAACAAGGCTTATACTTCCAATATGTTAATTTATGTGATTTTATAGGAGTCAATATTCAAAAGAAATAAGTTATTTCTTGTATTTTCATGCCAGACAAAAAAAACAGCATTAATTATCCATCGCTTTCCCAAACTCAGAACTGATAAATTTAGATATTAAAGCTAATTTCCTGTTGGGCTTTTGGGATATAAAACCCCTTCAAGATTATTTTTGAATGGAAGCAAATAAATTCAATAGAAATGCAAGCACAAAATCTCATTCCAAAAATAAAACAATAGCAGTAGGCAGCATAAAACAAATTTTAAGATTCACAAAGTATCTATGCTTGACAAGTATCCGCTATTTTATTTTTACAACATGCGCAGTATTTTGTAACGCTGGCAGGTGAAAATAAAAATGCTTCAGGTACGCTACAAAGTAAGATATACTAAAAAATAAATAACTCAAAAAAACATTTTATGAAAAAATTGATTCTTGGTTCGTTGGAATTATCTATAATTTCTCTACTCAAAGTTCTATTCTAAACTTTACTAATTATTAGAGTGCACACCATATATCCCTTAATACCTTTGTCAGAAAATACTCAAATTCGCACAACTTAATCAGTAAGTTTAGTAAACTGAGTTTGCTGAACTTTAACAACAACGCGCGAGGAAACAAGCTGAATTAAGTGATTTGCTTTTACAAAACTTAATGAAAATATTTCTTAACAAAATTTTGAACGAATTCGTGCGATTTTGTTATGCTAATATTTTCACATACATATAGTATGCACTCTCAACCTTTTCTTATAATTATTATTGACATGCTGGTTTTACTTACTGTGATTTTAAAGCTACGATTACTTTTGCTGAAAGGTTTCACGAGCAAAACTCCGTTCCCCGGAGTAAGTTTTAGTACAATAATCTTTAGGAGTTCTTTAATTCTTAAGGCTTGAAAGTTATAATTGACTTATTGACTTATACTATGTAGTTTACATAGTTTACATTACTCAGCCGTCTCACAAAGCTATTCTTGTTCGAGCAGATATAAAATTACAGTGTAGTCTTATCTTAAGACTTTCTTTCTTACCTTAAATCTCATGACATGGGTTGTATATATCCCGAAAACCGTTTGCTGTAGATCCAAAAGTTTCCTTTTTTGAATAAAAACAAGTATATTTTCCTGAAGGAAAAGCTGTGTTCTTGTAAAGCATTCCAATCTTATACTGCAGGTGTTGATTTTTTGTTGAATGTTTGAAATCAACTTTGAAAAGGAAGAAAAATGTTGTCAAGGATCTCTTTGATAAACTTCGTAAGCGCCTCTAAGAATCACTATTGAATTGTTGTACGTTTGCACAATAGAAAACTTTTGTTTCACGAACACAAGAATGAACGAAAATTGAACTCTTTGTCATTGCCACAAAAATACTTCAATCTTTTTGATTTGTTTTTAGAGTATATTTTCTGTTTATGTCCAGATTATTAACTAAATTTAAAACAAAACCAAAATCGGCTCAAACAATTAATCTATTTGTTTTAATCATGTCTAGCAACATGGCGTCATCCTTGACAACGATTACATTGGCCTAAGAAGCAATGCACTGAGAACAAAAGTAGTTATTTAACGAACGACAAGAAAAACAGCTGCGCCTGGTGTTATCAGTGATGAATTTTCATTCTAAACAAATGTCCCTTAAACAGGTAAAAAACCTTGAGCCATGCTCATGCAGATTAGACTCGTTATGTGTAAGGTCGGGCTTCTCTCGGCTTGTCTTCCGCTGGAGAGTAATAGTTGTGCGAGGCCGAGCGAATTCCTAAAGAACAAAGCGCAAGCTTTCCAAGCATTGCGAAAGATATCTATAGGGCGGCGAACATTTATTGGATAAGTTTAAAACTGAGTAGATTTTTACTTGAAATTCGTGTTGTCAGCCTGAAAAACAAGTGTATTTTAAGTTTTTTTGATAGTTATTCTTAAGTCTTTTTAAACATTTTTTTCGTTTTGGTTTTTATTCTCTTGACGTTGTTAAATAGAACGTCAGTTTACGTGGGTACTTATTATTAGATGTGTCCGACAGCAACACTTTTGTTTTAACACCATTTGTGTTTTGACATTCTAGAAAATTCTACTGATTTTCAAAACAAAAATATTTATAACTCATGTACTCCTGGGTGAGGTAACAAGAAAGTGTTTGAAAGTGTTCCTAACATTTTGTAGGAACCATGCGGAAAGATCGTCAACAAAGCTAAGGAGACATTACGTCATTCATCGGCATGTTGTCAACCTTTYGCATATGCCATAAAATTTTAGCGAGTTAAGTATTCGTTGCGTTCTACTAGCAAGGAATGCTTATCAGTTCCTAAGAGTCATACATTTTGTTTTTCAAATAGGAATTAATTGCGAATTATTATTTTGATTCTAAAGCTCCCTTGATGAAAATATCTGTTTTAGTAGTATACATAGACTCTATATACGTATTTTGATAAAGTGAGTCACCTGAAAAGCTAACTTACTTTATTGAAATATATAGGTACATAGTACATATATAGGTATGTGTGTTGCTAACAAAGTGATATCAAAAATGTCAGCCAGTCTTTACCTGCAAAATAGTGAATTTAATCAGCTTTCAGTTTACAACGCCGATCTGATCACAGCGCAGATCTGATTACAGCTTAAGTTATAGGAAACCGATCACGACACAGGAACTACCCACAAAGAGCAAAGTTAATTTTCTAAAAGATGCAAAAATATATATAACCGGGTTCCCTGTGGTATAACCAACATAGCCGGCATCATACCTGGGCCCAGTTGTTCAAAGCTGGATTAGCGCTAATCCAGGATTAACTCTATAGGTCTTATTGAGAGTTAACCCAGGATTAGCACTAATCGGGCTTTGAACAACTGGGCCCAACCACATTCAAATTTGTAAACAACTGTATATATCTTTATATTTAAGATCTTGTATTTTTTATGTTACAATAAAAAGCTATGTACATTATTATTCCTACTGAATGTATTACAATATTTTGCAAAAGTTCTAAAATGCTTTATTATTAAGCTTTTATAACTATTAATTATTATACATGCAAAGCCATTTTATAAAATATGTTTACGTCTTCCTATAAATTCAATTTTTTACATGCGCGTCGGCTTGATACAATGGCATATATATGACGCAAAGAGGTATTCACAAACACCTAGTTTTACGTCCATAGAGTGTGCATGTGCAAGGGATGATGTGGCTACCATAGATATATTATGACGTAATGGTAAGGTACGTCACGTGATAAGCACATGGCATGTGAGAAAAGRGTAGCGGTCAAGCACATGGAGTGCGAGAAAGCTTGTTGTTTTCTGTGTTTATTGGTAGCTAGAATTCCCAAATAGTTCGGTAAGTTTATATTGTTGGTAATTTATAGCATTTGTAAGCAACTGATTTAGGAACTTTATCGTTTATGTAGAAAACCGCCATTCACCAACGCAAAATATGAACACAGTGGTTCGTTGATTGTATAAGGTTATGCAATAAAGTTTGGTAAGATGAACTAGCAGGAGCGTTTCGTCTAATAATTTCCGTAGCTACCACCCGCTCCTGGGGTCAGGAGTAACAGATGACGTAATTTTCACTTAATCACTATTTAAATTTTATCATATTTTTTTCAACTTCGATAGACGAACGAGAAATGCGTTCGCATACTAAATTTGACTAGAATCGGTCAAATATCGGCTAAGATATGGACATTTAATAAGCCTGAAGCGAGATGACGTTTTACCCCCGACTCTATACCATAATAGTTTTTAGAATTCTTTCATATTAAAATTTTTGATTCCTTAGAGAATACAGGAACAATAGTCATAATTAAAGAACAAAAGCATTGTGAAAAGGATTAATGGTCTAGAGACGGGGGCAAAACGTCATCTCGCTCCAGGCTTATTGAATATAATATGTTATATATGATATTTCTTCCTCTAAGGCCCTATATTTTTGGCTCCTGAAGTCTGTTGTAAACGTTTGAAGCGAGCCGAAAATATAGTTATTTGTATGATGAGATTATATAGTTAGACTGGCCATACCTCGGCTGATGTTTTTCCGACTCGTCAAATTTGGCGTGCAAACGTCTTTTTTGATTTTCAATATAAATTAGAGATGCAAAAGTTGTTTCAAAAGCCAAACTTGAGTACTCTATTCAGAAGACTCGTCGAGTTTTTATGAAAAATACTCAAAAAATTACGATTGTTTTTTCTCTAAAACAGAAAGTTGAATCATTTCAGGTTTTCTAATTTTTTTTCGCATTTCGTAGATAAATTTTTTTCTTTCCTGCAAGTGCTTCTTCCTCAGGCTTTCCATGTTTTTCTTAAAATTTTCGAAAAATGTACACACAAATTCCTTGCATTCTTTTATCGCTGAAAGTCTTGCATATAGTTGTGGCGTTATCCTTACAGCTGGTTTAATAAAGAAAATGAAAACAAGTTTGAATTGATAGGTTTTCATTTTCAACTCTCGTTACAGTTCAATTAATACAAGGTTAATAATAATATTAATAATAATAATAATTCTACTACTTTTTTGTTTCATCTACGTTTTTTTAATTTTATATTCCTGCTCGAGCGCATGTGATTGTTGTTGTCTCGCAATTTTGAATGTAATTTCAATCAGTTTTTCCCTGACGATGGGTTTGTAACCCGAAAGCTCGGAGCAGGAATATGAAAATCAAAATCGTGGATGAAACAAAAAAGTAGTAAAGTCGTGACTCCCACGAACAAATAAACTCTTAAATGATGATGATGATGATGATGATGATGATGATGATGATGATGATGATGATGATGATCTTAATCCTCAAATGTTATATTCATTAACATGGCGAGAATTTAATTAAAGAGAAAAATATAATATCGGGAAAGTATGGGACTTTTAGCTTACAGTGCGGGCACTCTAACCATGAACACTTCGAGGTTTTTTTGACATTTTTTCTACATTTTTACAACTATCCAATCAGCGATCTCCTTCTTAAAAGGAATGAAACAACTTTTAGGCATCATCCAATCAGAACACACGATATAATTGATGTGATTTAGTTTTTCAGTAGTTCCCATGAGAAAGCTAAAAATAGAACTCCTAACGATTGTCGTGATTGGATAACGCATTAAATAAAGTTTGAAAAATGTTGAAAAAATGTCAAAAACTCCTCGAAGTGTTCATGGTTAGAGTATCCGCACTGTAATAGACCGTGGACCACGGAAAATGGTTGGCCTCATTAACGATAGATAATTAGAAACAATTGCTTGTAAAAGAAACATCAGCAAAATACCTGTTCTTTTATGCCTTATTCGCCAGATCAACTCCCAAAGGAGACCACAAATCACAGCAATTATCAATCCAAACATTAGCCATTTCAGTGTCTTTTCGAAAACGGGAGATTCGCTGTCAAATAGACCGGAGCTCCTTTCGACAGCACTGCTTCTTGAAGCTGCCTAAAAAAATATGTACCGATAAATAAATAATAAAACTCAAGGGATTGACAGGTAGAATGAAGTGAGACGACATTACATCCGTGCAAACCAAGTAGGCCTGTTGTATTATGTGGTAATTGCAATGAAGTAATTTTTCAAATACGAGTTGCTGTATTCTAATGGGGTTTCAAAATCCGAGTGGAATTTCAAATGCCGAGGCGTAGCCGATTTTGAAACCCCAATAGAATACAGTGACGAGTATTTGACACGACATCTTATACTCTTTTTGTTATTATACTCTGTTTGTTTTTATTTCAAAGTACTTGAACTTTGAAATGGGTGCGGTCGTATTTGATGGGGGTATTAAACTACTGCACGTGGTACAAATAAGAAACCCTGGTTGGTCGATGAGCTCATGAATAATCAATGAGTATAAGATTGTCAATTATCATTTCAACTGTCTTAGTGTATTTTGACAGTGATTAGTTATGACGAGATATACAGCCAACATGATCACAATTTATCGAATCCTCACCTCTAGAGWGCTTGTGTAGTTTTGTATAACCTTGAAAACCTCTTCAACTTTTCTTTTCATAAAATCATTACATCTCTTTTGTACGACTTTAGCTTCCCCAGACAAAACAACACCGTAACCGATCTTCTTCTCGACTAATTTTGTCACACTAATATTCGCATTGAAAAGGAGATATTTTTGGTCAGCGGCTACGTAGGTGTCAATCAAAGTACCTCTGACAACACCTTTTTCCAAATTTCCTTTAATGCAAGCTACATTGTTGCAAAGATATCCTACGAATACAAACATTAATCAAATGAGTTTAAACATTAAAATTAGACTTTCTGCATAACACAAAAGTGTAGCGACGCCAAATATTGTCCCCGTCCCCGTCCCCGTCCCCGTCCCCGTCCCCGTCCCCGTCCCCGTCCCCGTCCC